TTTTTTTTTTTGCCATAGCTCCATCTATTGTGAAACCCCTGTATAACCAACCAACCAACCGACCTATGCCAGCTGCCAGGTGGCACCACATCTAATTCATTGTATGGCCATCTGTCATCTGTGGGAATCGTCCTCATTTCTGGAGACTGTGGCTCTATGCTGTCATTATCTTAGTGAAATATGATCAAGTGTCAGGGTTTCCGGAAACGGCAGTCGGCTCAGCAGAACGAGTGGAGAGTAAATGAAAGATTGCTCAGCTCAGGAACCCTGCAGGCTAAGAATGTGTTGTGTGTAATTTCCGTGTATTAAAATTATTGAAGCTTTGCAACAGGTTGTAGTTGTGATCCGGTGTGAAACACATCCCTCAGGTAATTTAGGGGAAGCAACAAATTCTGTGATGGAAACCTCACTTAAAGAAGATGTTTAGGATTCAATCTTTTGAAAAACAATGGTTGGTTTGATTGGTTAGTTTTACCAACAGTTTAGAATAAATGTAAAGTGTTGGTATGTTCTTGTCTTGGTATTGAATCTGACCCAAATTAGATCAGTGTTTCCCAAACGTTTTTTCTGGGAAAAGTCACAAACCTTTATGACCCAAGTCAATTGACATTATTTGTAAATCACAAAATAAAGGTATACTTGACCATAATTGAAAATGAATGAGGGTAACAATTAATTGTGCAATGACTTCTGGGAAACATGATGCAATACGACCCAAAAAAAAAAAAAAATCTCTTGCGACCCACCTGAGGGTCGCGACCCAGTCTTTGGGAAGCAATGGGTTAGATGGTCTTCATATGAATATACAGGCTGGTGGTCTGCCTGCTGGGCATTGCTGCCTGACACACCTCCACCAGTGCCTTTTTGCTGGTGTGCTCATCTGAACTCATCTGACAGCAGTAGGATCTCTTCACCACCTACAACCTACCTCCCTGGGCCCCACTAGTGCCTGAGTGTCACTAGTGGTGCCAACTTACCTCAAGGGTGATTTCCTTGGTATGATCACGGGGTGGGGATTAGGGCTGTGGCAGGGGAATTATTGGGGTCATCCTTATACTTACCTTCAGGGTATGTGAAGGGGCTTAGGTAAGGGATGGGGTCTTGACTACTACACTGGTGCAAGATCTGGGTTCTATACCATGTAATCCTGAAAATTCTGGATTGGTTACAAGATAACCCGATCTGAAATGAAAGTAACCTGATCTAAAAAGTGATTCCATCTTAGATCTTTTCAACCCCATAAAGACGTCATCCTCCGCACATCTCTAATATCGCAGGTCTTCATCTGAACAGCTCAGTGGATCTCCCTGTAATTTGCCTCAGGAATTTTTTTTTAAGAAAAGAGTTCCAGGCCTACCTCAGAAGACCATCCGATCCAAGTCATCTTTCCTTTTACTGGATTCCTTCAACTGCTTTGAAGTCCCAGTGGGAGCACTCACCACCTGGTCTGCACTACTTAAGCATGGGCATGAGCTTTTGTGGGCTGACTCTGGGGACCTGTCACTCCCAGACCTCCCAGTGGATGAGAATCGGGGAGGCTGAGTACAATAGAGCTGCTGCCAGGATCACTGACTCCCTGACTACAGCCACGTATTGAACAGCCTGGTGTGGGAGTCGATCTCCCCTGTGTTTGGGGTCTCTCCATTTGTTTATCTCTCTCTCGCTCACTCATCTTCGCCGTGTAATGAGGACAGCCTGAAGCCAAAGCAGAGCAGAGACAAAGAGTGAGGGAGTCGCAGTGATTGTACAGTTTGCGTATTCATGCGTCTCTGGCAGAGAATGCTGATTGTCTGAATATAAATGGGATGTGCTTATCCACCGAAATCAAGGACACGTTTTTAGGCACACAGTAAAACGCTTTGAAGTCAATGAAGTGTGCCTTATCTGTCACTCAGCTCCTGGAATAAAGTCATGCTCTTTCCTTAGTTAAGGCCAACCTTCATCGTTTATTCTTTAATACCTGACTTCGTCACTGCTGTTGTCCGTTTGAAAAGAGAAGTAATGGTTTACAGCACCTAAAATATTATTTGCTATTCATCATATTCTATTTTGTCAGTAGTTTCCTGAACACTTTTGGGTTTGTGTCACAAGCAAATAAATAAAAAATAAAATATTGTCAAACTTTATTTTACATTTTTGTACGAAAAGTTGTTTCAAATGAACAAGGACAGACTCGTTGTATGTGAAATTCTGGAATGAGGTTCCTCAATCACAGGAGCAGGTTATTGGTAGGGATAACTCAATGCATGCCGTGGACTGCCGTTGCTTAGACGATAGCATTTGGGAGAAGTTGAGCATTTGGGCTTAGGTATCCGATCGGACAGGGTATAGTTGTTTTTTTGATATTGGATCCGGATATTTTGATCAATATTAGATCAATACCGATTCTAAATATCTGAACAAGCTATCCCTAGTTATTAATAGTAGGCAGTAATACTAAGGACGTATGTCTTAAAATATGCTAAATATAGCAACAATTTCAAGCAAATACCTGGAGAGCAAGTTAACATGCGATCCTCAGTTTTTTCAAGGTTTTGGCCTTTTGTGTGTGTGTGTGTGTGTGTGTTCCAGCCCTTTTGGGAATTGCTTTTGTATTTTGTTAAGTGAATCTTAATCGTTTGACATCTAGAGAGGTCACCACATAGAAGAACACCCAGTTTTGAGTCCACCTGGTCTCCTGCTCTTTACTCTGGCTGGACATCAAGAAGGTCATCTCACATGCAAACTGTGCCAAAGCCCTACATGCACTATCACAGTGGTGACCCCTAAATACGGGAAAAGCCAAAAGTAGTTTTCTTCTCCTTTACTGCCAAGTACTTACTGGCCTTCAACGCTCCCTATTGATCAAACTAAACACTTAGTGTCCACTTAATGTCCAGCAAATATCAGTGATTTACACAGACCCATCTCCTGGGATCAAATCATAATTTCCAAAAAGTTGCATTGCCATGCGATATTATTCTGATACATCTGTGTCGGAATGAATCAGCCTCACAGAAGAGAAAGCACACAGCGAGGGGACTTTGTATTTTTCACTAATGGCAGCAAAAAAGCCAAATGATAAACGATGACAACAAAATTACCACCAATGTCACCATTTTTCTTCACGTTATAATTACTGTTTTGTTTTTTCTTTCTTTCTCAAAGTTATCTGCTGAAATTAATCATGCCAAAAAATTTACAGACGGCTCTGTGGTTTTTGCATATCTCGGCACTTTTGTTCTTTCCCGGCATGGTTAAATATTGGACTCTGCATAAATAATATAGAAACAGCATGGAGAGTAAAAAGGATCAGTCATTTCTTGGTGTGTTTGGCCTTCCACTGTTTCTTAGTTGATGGATCTCTGCCTGCATTTTGCTATTTATAGAAATGTATATATGTCAATACAGTATGTATACGTATATATTTATATATTTATATATGTATGTATATGTGGCGCTTTGGCCCAGAGGTAATGTCTGTCATTGGTGTGGAACCCCAGGGTAAGATCGAATCGCGGTTAGGGCAGTTGGTACCTTCCAGTGGAGTCACCACCCCCCAGGAAGGTTCACGAGTGACTGGTACGGTACAGGGTGATTTGGCTGGTGATTGTGGAGACTGCTGCATCCGCGACCCGGTAACAGAAAAGCGGACGAAAATGGATGGGTGTATGTATATATATAATATAATAATAATAAAAATAATTGTATGTATGTGAATGAGAAGATAAACCTATTTTATCAATAAACATCTGAAAGAAAAAGGAAGAAAATAATGTTCTGTTAGTGAATTTTTTAAAATATTTTTCTTTATTTCTTTGACATTTATTTTACTCCATAGTAAACTAATATATATATATATATATATTGTTATTGTTGTCACAATACAATTAGTGTGTGAGTGGATCAGCAAATATAAAAATGATCTGTATTTATTCCTACATAACAGCAATGATCAAAACATAACACATATTGAACATACTGTCAGTCATTGGAGTTCAGATCATGTCTTTCCTGCGTTTGCACATGATTAGACAAATCATCATGATTCAGTTACAGCAGATAGGTTGGGACAGGTTTTCTTATTACAGATCAGACCAAAGGCACACAGACAGATGTCTTTTTCCGTCATAATTGCTTAGTGGGCAGAAGAGAATCATTGTATCTTGATCATGCCTGGCCCTTGATGTATTTCACATTGTATATAGTGGCTTGTATCAGTGACAATTTCCTCATGAAAGCCTTTGAAGCCCATTGTATATTCATCGGAAAATCAAAGCAGTGGGGGCATTTGGAAGAAATTGAGCAAAATAAAAGAACCTATAATTTCCCTCTATAATAAAAATCAATCATTTTTCCCCCTTTTGCCACATTTTCCTGTCTTCTCTATAAGCCAAGTCAAATGGATGAATTGAATTGAAAGATTCAAAGGACTTTAATTGTCATTCTCTTTAGCATTTACATGCAAAAAGACCTAAAGTGCTAACCGTGCTCCGGGTAAAGTCTGATGCAATGAGCAAGGTTGTTAAAAAAATGTGACCATTACCCTTTCATGCCATAATATAGGTCATCGCTTGGCTTAAGTTTGAAATCCAGGAGACAGATTAGTAATTACTCATCTGTAGCACTGCACTTCCAGGTATCCATCACTTCTGCTAGTTTAAAGCCTTTCTATTTAAAGGACCAGGCACACTGATCGCAGAACAGTAATGGACGATAAGTCACATAAAGTCACTAAATCACCGCCGTAACAATGGCACCGCGGCGGCTAAAGTGACACTCAACATTGATATTCTTTCTCTCCATGCTCCGTGCAACCTAGCCTGATGTGACATTTGGAAAAGGACAGACAGTGGAGGAGGAGGTGTGTGAGTGCTGACCTATGCTGCGGGCCAGCTGCTTGTAAATAGCTGCACTGCTGTTGTCCTTCAGTAGAGAGACTTTCTCAGCAGCACAATTTATCCCTGCTCCTCTCTGATTTACGAAGTGTCGCTCACAGACAGTCGCCGTAGCACTTTTATCTCCACCTTGTCTCGCTAAATGAATTCCAAATGGCATGCTGCCCAGTTATTTGTCAGTGAATTTGTTATCGTTGACAACCACAACTCCCCTTTAAACAAATATAAATCTGTTGAAAACAATCGCTAAAGCAAGCAAGCAACGTAACCTTTTGAAATATCACATCGGCCGTCGGCTTCTGTAGACGATCATTTCCGGCTTTACAAGTGGAACATGAAAGTGGTGGCTGCAGGAGTTGTCTGGGTCGGTATCTGCTGTGGATGTAAATGCGATGGAACAAGTTTGCCGGTACTGTTAGACTTGGAGTAGGACTTCAAGGGGTCCAATCACGAGAATGCCTGCTGCAGCAGAAGTAATAAATGTAGCAAGTTAAAAATGTCACTTGCACATGACAGCGGGCGACGCCAAACAGCAGAACCTTTATTATGTGGAA